TTCCCTGGCCGCCGCCACCTCCTCAGCCACCATCCTATGTACAGTCCCTGGCAAAGTCTCAGCTCTGCCATTCTGAGACTCTCTCTGACCCTCCAGCATATACCTCTGCCCCTGTGGCCACACACCCCTCAAGACCAATGTGGACAACTGTTTCCACAGGCTCTAAGACTGTGTCAACCGAGCAACTGAATCACGTGCTCAGAAGAGTTCGGTCCTTTACCTCAACCACAACTGGAGCATCTTCCTCCATCACAAGTGCCATGCACATCTATAGCCAGAAGCTCTGTAGACCCACATCTGCAGGCCAAGGTAAACTTATTGTTCCCTGCTTCTTAGCTCTTCCAGCACTGACCTTCTTCTTATCTAATTTGTTGCTGTGTTGACACATTTTCTTTTTCTTTTTCAGTTAACAGCAGGAGCAGTTCCAGTAAGCTGAAGTCAAACTCAGTGGGAGCCTTTAAGGAGTTAAACTCCCTGTCTGCCCAGGTCCAGTCTAACCAGCAGGCATTCATTTCAACCCTGCAAAAGCTGGCTGACAATCAGGCTGCTTGCCACTCTGCCAGCTCCAATCACATCAACCTGCTGACACAACATGTGAGTTCATTTTATTTTTAAACTCTATTAACAGCTACTCATACCTGAAGCAGGAAGTTTAACTGTGTTCAAAGACACTTTGTTGAATTATTAACTAACTGTAAACAGATCTGTGTAATGTTTCATGTAAGGAAGAAGAATCCGGCCCCTCTGCGGTAGTCTCTTGCTGTGAGGTCTCTGATATTTCCTTTTGTTGATGCTTAAACCTGGCTCGGACCCCATGCTGATTGGCGGCATCTAGCTGCTCTTTTATTCAGCAGACCTGTTGGAGCCGGAGGGTCTGCTGCCTTGTACCGCGCACCTTCCTCCTTCAGCTTGCCTGCAGTCTGTGAACTGGGGTTGGCGCGGGGGAGGGTCTGGTACTGGGGTTTGAAGCTGGCTGCCTCAAACAGTGGTGAGCCGCATCAGGCCTCAGCTCTGTGTGAGGTCTTATTATCAGATGCACCATGGGGGAGCGATTTCTGTTGATACTTCACAAGCCTTTACTTTTTGTGGTAATTGATGCTTATAAATAGAGGAACATGGCAAATTGGCACTGAGCTGGGGAGCAGCAGCTCTGTTGGCTCCATCAGCACTTTCCTTTATATTCCCCAGAGGTTTGTCATTTGACATGGGGAGCCTTGCAACCTTTCTTTCCCCCTCTCCTCCTCTTCATCCTCATCCTAATCCTCTGCCTCACTCAGTTTTTTGTCACATTTGCTGTGATGGCACCAGACCACACAGACTGTGGTTTTTACGCCTTCTTTTAGACTGTACATTATTCCGCTTTTTTGAAAGGTGTTTGCTGTATTTCCTATGAATAGTTAATCCTGGGCATGGCAGCAGTTTATTTATTCAGGGTAAAATGGTCCAGTGTTTTGCACTTAAAGGCTCAGAGTACATTCTTTTTAGGGCTCCAATTTGAAGTCATTTGCTGAACTAAATGGGGAACTTTGTTAACATGAACAACACCCTGTTGTACTTGTTGACCTCTAAGGTTTGAGTAATTATTCATTGTTATGCTAGTCACATATATTCAAACAGATACTGGAAAGATGGTGAACCCTTCTAAGGTGTGTGTGTGTGTGTGTGTGTGTATTTTAATGTCCAAGACATTTCTAAACTATAGGGTGTATATATACAGTATTTATGCATATACAAGGCACAAACTGTCTCAGATTGATAAGCACGTGACTGTAGATGATGGAGCATTAGGACAATATATGTATTGGGTCTTATGTAGTAAACATTATTGTACATGTTTATTCAGATTTTGATAGATTGAAATGTTGTATAACATTTCATCCACAAGCCCACCTGTGTGTTTTTCTTAGCACAGTTTGATCAAATAGTTTATAAGAATACAAACAGTCTACCTAATGAGAAACGTAAGGCTATAGCCGTGTAACACCATGCTGAGACATTTTTCCACATAATGCAAGGCTTGGCACCATTACAGTTTTCCCATTGGATATTTAGTGCTACACAGGAGAAAGTAAAGTAAATAAAACACTCCAGCAGTATGATTAATACTAACATTAGATTACAGCACTGAGCACAGTTCCAGGGCAGTACAGAGCAGTACAGAGGTGCAGTTGCTGCAGTAGGGCTGGTGTGGTTGTATATAGATTTTGCCTGACAAGTTAGCTTGCTCTCTTAGGGATTTTGGGGGGGGGGGCACCTGGATTTAGTGCTGAGCGGAGACTAGCTGTGCCATGTGCTATGTGTACATTTCACACACCTCCCAGATACAAGAGATGGATGTGGTCAATTTGTGATTATCATATATTTCTATTACTTTGAACACTGAAAGAACTGGCTGGTAGCAGGTTTTATGGATGCACTTAACTTAGTCTAACATTGATTTGTACCTGAATACCAATGTCCTACCATTTATAACGGGCATAATGAAAGTGACACTAAATTTCCTGAAAACTGAATAGTCTGTTATTGGCTTCTCCTCTGCCCACAGTTGACCAATCTGAACCTGGCAAGCAGGGTGCTGGGCAGAGAGAGCTTCACACTGAACCCCAAGGTGCAGCATACCGCTGCTATGACCCAACGACCAGTGAAAGCCATTCACTCTGGAACAGAGCTACTAAGCAGTGCTGGGTGAGTCCAAAGAAATTTTGACAGTTCCTTCTCTAGTACCCTATGTTTACCTTTAGCATGCAGCACACCTCTGCTACCTTATAAGAGCTATAGTGCCCCTTTTGGTCAAATTTCACCACTGTGTTCACATGTACTATGTATTCACCCTACCCCTAAGGCAGCAGAGAGGGAATATAGTGTTGTAGTATCAGTGGGGTTCACTGCCAAGGTAAAGAGTATATTTCCTCAGAGAGCCCCAAGTTTAAGATGCCGTGCTGATGTACACCAACACAGCTCTTCTTGTTTTTCTGAATCTGTCAAGGTACTTAAAATACTATTCTTGAGTGTTTAACATTAGGGATTTTCTTTTCCATTACTGGTACTATGCCAAGTTTGAGAAATTGACGTGTGCAGGTATAAAGTATTATTCGGTTTGGTCACTTTTCAATGCAGTCAACCTTTACACAACTCTTTAGTGGAGACTCTTGTGGCAGCCTATTTGGTCACACTCAATCGAATCTCACAGCATATTTAATGGTCTCTGACGAATTTTAAATGGAAGATTATTAGTCTTTGGAAACGGATTGCAGAGTACCAGCAACCCTCTGGGCAGGCTAGTTCAAGATGTGGTTAGAAATGGGCATTTTGATCCCTTTTTAATTGTGCTTGTGGAGCTAAGTAGCAGTAGAATTGGCTGCTGAGTGCTGGGAGTGTGTGAAGCATGGAGGTGGGGGTGAGGGGGTACAGTGTCAACCCTCATAGTCTGTCTGTTCTAGACACTCCATCCATTGAAATTCCCATTTCCTCACCTCATGCCTCACCCTTCTCACATTGCTCTGCGAAGACAAGGAAGGAAACATTAGGACAGAATATGACCATGTGATCATGGGCTATGGTACGGGACCAGGATAATAAACATTTAGGCAATCGAAGGTGTAATTCATAGAGCTGTAAGCATCAGGGGTCACTCCCTTTTTATTTTTGTGGTAGTATGTGAGTGACAGTCTCTCAGACAGCTTGGCCCTGATCTTGGACTCTGTTTTTCCAGTCCAGCCCTTCCTTGTGTATTGAGTTGTCAGGGAATTCCAGGAATGTCTGGGCTATTCTCTATTTAAAATGTTTTTATTTCCACAAACCAAGAAAGAGCGCGTTAATAAAATTTATAATTTTACAAATGGCCTTACCTATGACACTGAGGAAAGAGAAATCACCTTTTGATCTAGATCTCTAGTGCTTTGATGGATTATGCATTTCTTTGCTGAATTTAGTCATCCCCTTCCCTTTACATAATGTATATTGTTTTGTCACTTCATTCATGAGAAAATACATTTCAATAGAGCCCCATGCTTCCACCTTTTGCATTTTAGGTTATTAATTCAAACAGTAGCTTCTGCTAGACAGCTTTCCCTAAATCTCTTCAGAAAATCAATAGCTGCCTTTATGTTCCCATTTGTCACTGGATATAGTAATACAAAAAGCTCTCTTGTACCCCAGTATTCCCAGCCCTGGATTTGGCATTCACCTCTTAATGCAATGAAATATCTTAAATAAGATATTAGGATAAATTGCCTTTATTTCGCCTCCGTGCTGTTTCTTATAACGTAGAATTTCCTGAGTCCCTCCTCCTTTATACTGTACTTGGGCTGATGGTTTGTGCCAAACATACTGAAACTGTTAAGCACACTGGCTGTTTAAGCAACCGCAGGGGTGAGGTATGATAGGTTTCAAAGAATAGTATGGCTCTTTGAAGTGCTGCTGCCAGGATCTACCAGGTATGCTGAATCGGCACTGAGACGTGCTGCTTCACTCCACTGTGCTGACAAACAAAGGGCTTTAAGCCATCTTTATACACCCACAGTTAACTCTGCATCTTTTCCACTGTTGGACCTCCTAGTACATTTGCAATGATTTCAGTGTGCTTATCGGTTGATGTGAGCTGATTAAACTACTCAGACAACAGACAGTCAGACGTTCAGACTACAGTCAAGGTGACAGCCAGTTTGTTGCGTTTGGAAAGTCTCACACAGCACAAGTTGTACTCAACACTGTAATAGTGTAAATGGGTATTTTTGCCTTTGTTTATGGTTCAATTTATTAAATAACCAGTAAGAGTATGGCACTTAGTTTTTTGAGTTTGTGATGATGTTCCAAGTTTGCCTTGTACTAAGTCAGCAGTGGCTCGTGGTTGGTCCTCACCACTTGTATTATTCATGTGAACACTCAGTATATTTTGAGCTGTGTTAGAATCCTTGCCACAGACATTGCCTTCCCATTTTCTTCCTTAGCCTACAAATAACTAAACTGCAAACTGAAACTGCAGTGTTACATTCGCTCCAGCCTCGTGAACTGACAAGTACCGCAGTCTTGCTTATGCAGGGTATTTTTAGTTCTGTTCAATACTTTGTAAGATTGTTGTTTGACTTGGTCAAACTTTGTAAGAACATACGCACCATTCCAGAGTATTTTATGACAGCCCAATTGCTGAACCAACAACCCAACTAATCAGAAAAGCTCATGTGAAAATGTAAAAATTCTTTGATGGGGGGGACAAATTCCCACAAAATTGGTTTGTTGTCTCTCTCTTTCTTTGAATTTAGAAGATTTTATTCTCATTGATTGCAACCAGATGTGGTATTAACATGAAGGAGAACCCTTAAGGTAGGAACTAGTGAAATTTCAGCGAATAGATTTAGTGGATCCACACACCTTTTGTAGCAGTGTGCAGTATTACATCTCTCTTTAGCAAAGTTGACCAATGACTTAAAACTATGTAAAACTATTAGCAAATCTTAAACTACAGACTTGCTCAACTAAGCTGCAGCATAAAAGCATAGGGAAAGCCATAGCGTGTGAAGACTTTATTAAAGGGTAAATTGGTTTCCAAGAAACTTCTATGGTACCAGTCAGTCAAATGCTACAATATCAGTACTGTATGTCAGTGCAGCACCATGTGCTGTGACATGATGTGAGAATGCAAATGTTTGTAGGAACCAAGCAGTATGTGAGATTCAGCTGTCAGTTTTAGATGTAAAATATGTATTCATATGTAAATGATATGTATTTGTTTGTATTTTTATATATGGATGGAGAAATATGTGTTTAAGATGCAGTTTAGTATGAGTAGGAAGTATTAAGTTATATACATAAAAATCCAACTGTGCTCTCTCATCTACCTTATGAAATGTAATTTAAAATCATCCCAGTTTATATCATGATTAAATGGAGCTAGTCCTTTAATTGATCTGTCGATTAACAGACGAATATTTGGCTCCTATTTTGACTATTTTAATGGAATTGTTATATATCATAGTAATTAGAACATGTTTGGGTTTTGGTCACAGAACAAGACATTTGACATTTACCTTGGGCTCTGGGAAGATGTGATTAGCATTTTTTCTCTATTTCTTGATATCTGATAGACCAAATAAATAACCAGTTACATGAAAAAATACTCTGCCCTTTTATTAAACAACATTTCATTTAAGTCATATACAAAAACCACATTCCTTTTTCTTTTTTTTACTTGTGTTCCTCATCACTGCTCTAACCAAAGCATCAGCATCCCAGTCTACACTGCTCCCACATTGTTAATCATTTTTGCATCTTAACAAAGATTGTACTTAGTGTCATGTTATTGCAATAAAACATGACAAACAAATATTGATTAATGACTGGAAATACCCTGTTGCTCCTGGAGCGGCTGATATTTACACACTGACCAGGCAGGGCTTGGAGTCACTGCGGCATGATGTCATCTCGATTCAGACCATCCGTTTTCCCACATTCACAGTGAGTTAGATTGATGTCACACATGTGCTCAGCTTGCACTGCTGTGTTGTTCTACAGTAAGTTAAATCAGCATATTAAAGGATGGTGATCACAGTGGGGAGTAAGCTGACACCCACAAGCATAAGTCCGCCAGGGAGGGAAGTCCCAGATAGCTGAAGCGCCGCACATGTGTTGGACTAGTGATGAAAAACTCAGATGGAAAATTCCCTATTTCACTGGTAACTGTGTTGGATTAAACCCTGGTTCCTCCTGGTGTTAAATGTATGGTGATCTGTAGAAGTGTTTATGCTGTGTTGCGTTGACATGCCCTGTTGGAAAAGATCTCTTTTTAGGGTCCTACAGTGACATGGTACTCAAGGAAAGCATATGCTCTTGACCTGAGAAATAGTCTGTTTTAGATCATACTGTATGCTAATAAAATGGTAGTACTGAAGGTCCCTGTGGTCCAGTGCGCAAACTGTAGCCAAGTTAAAGGAAATGACTGCTGTAAACAAAGAACAAGTTCTTGTTTTGTCTCCTGGCGTTGTACTGTAGAATCTCTGGTCATGCGAGGTTCACAGACAAACCTTTGTTTCCAGAAGCTTAAAAAAAAGAAACTCATTTGGCCCCTGGTCACACCAATTGTTTTTGCATTGTATGTGAACTGAGAATTACATGGGTGGCTAGCATGTTCACATGAGTTTAAGATCCCTTGTGTCTTTGTTTGGCCATAAAAGTCAGGAATATTTTTTCACTTGAGCCGTACAAGATTATTATCTCACAGGGTGCATTGTTGTTCAAGACTAATTGAATTCTAATTTTAGAGCTTATCGTAGTTCGGTTCTAAAAATACCGAGACTATTTACAGTAAAGTCTGCAGTGTTTTCTTTTACTCTAGACCAAAAGACAAATGTTATTGCATGTAATGGGAGGAATGTCCAAGAGCTTTTCTGTCATTCAAAACCCTGGGGAACCCATTTCTTCAACTGTACTTGTATCTCTGTTTTTCCTTGCAGATCCCACTATGGCATTATTTTTGGCTGAGGTGATACATATACAGTACAGCAGCACACCAGACTCCATATAGACTCAATTTGAGCACGTCTGAAAAGAGGCTGGTCTTCTCATTGCTTCAGCAGGGGCCAAAAGGGGGAGGGGGGAGGCTGAAACAGGTTTAGTCCTAATGACAGATAATCCAGTTACAAACTCGAGGCGCTCGTCAAAAGGTTTGCTTTCCAGGCTGTGGCTTTGTGATGTCAATGGAACGTGAAGCTTAGGGAGCACTGAGGCAAAGAGGAAAGATTTTGCAACAGGCTTGCCCTCTACTTTGACTCTGATTTGCACACTTTCACTTGAGGCTTCTGTGGGCCCATCAGCCACCGACTGGGATGGTGTGAGCTGTCTTGTCTCTTTTACTTTGTAGCAGTGGTATTACAACTCAACATGTAGAGGGAAATGGGGGGAGTTAATTAGCTAGTGCCTCTTTTCTTCCTTGGTATAACTGACAAAGAAAAGGTGGTAGCAAAGACTCTGCTAATATGGCTCACTATTTAGCCACTGAAGCTTGCGCTATCCCATATCCCTGATAATTATTAGCAATAAAGAGGTACTGTATGTCTTCAAGTTAGTGGTAGCTTCATTTGAGAGTACAGGGATTGAAGGAAAAACACATGATGGACAGCACAAATCTCACTGGTATTTGACAGAACTTACCCAAGGAGAATATTAGAATGAAAGAGTTTTGCATACAATGCTGGAAGTCCTACATCTCAGTTTATTCTATAATGCTACTTTGTCACTATTTTCCCCTATTTTTCTCCTCTTCCTCTTCCCTGGTCTACCCTCTGTGTCTAAAGTACGATAAAACCTTCACCCAAATTATCATTAGCAGCAATAACATATTTTAGGGCTATAGTAAGAATAGTCATATAATAGCTTGACCAACTTTAAAGGAATCGCTTGACATTTTAGGAAATACACATATTTGCTTTCTTATTAGAGAGTTAGATGCAAAGTTCTCAGTGTGTTGTTAATATGATTTTTGTTGTCTTTTCTCTGATTTCTGTTCATTTCTTCTGACCATGCCACAGGGCACTGAAGGATGAGGAGAGTCATGGGGATGGGAAGATGCAGAATGCCTATAGCTTGGTGACAGGGGTGAACCCCCAGCAGCACTACCAGCCCCCCCAGGGAAGTTACCAGCTTCAGTTTGCTATACACCAACTGCAACAGCAGAACCTTCAGTCTCGACAACTTCAGGACCAAAGCCATTGCAGACACCAGGTATTTAAGAGAGTTTTTGGATCATTTTCCCCATTATTTCATGCTAAATAATATGATGATAATTAAATCATTACATGTGTAATTGTTATAGCGTAATTGGCAGAGGTCAACTCATCATCAAGTACACAATATCTGGGTTACTTCCAGACACATGGGATTGAACCTTAGTCCCTTAGATTCTAGCACTGGATGAAGACGGAGCAACACGTATGAGAACCACTGAAGTATAACTCAGGAAACCCTCATGTTTGTGTCTGTACAAATGATTCCCTTTCCTAAGCACAATGCTGTCCAAAGTAGTCTGAAATATGCCCACATAAGAGGGAAATTGTTCATGTTAGCATTTGCAAAGCTATTCTGGGAATCTTTTTCCAAGCCACTCAACAAAATGGTGTTTGGTGGGAACATCCTTCTCAACAGAAGTTCATTCCTGGAGAGCCAAGCATGACTCTTCACCCCAAGAATACACAGTTTGACTGATTTGACTAGGCTTATATTGGAAGATGAGTAATCAAGGAATGCAGCCCATGAGGGCACTATAGAGTTCCCCAGTACAGAGTCTATTCTGAGTTCACGTTTTACAGTTCATATCAGATTCGAGCTCCATTTGTGTTCCCATAACAGCACAAATAAAATTTTGGGATATGATTCTCTCAGCAGTAGTAATGTAGCTACAGAAACATTTTTTTTCATGCCTGACTTGCCATGGCAGATGTGATTTGGCAGTTTTTAAAAGGAGATTAGAAAGATAGAGAGGTCTTGGTGATTTCACACAGCCTAATTTTTATGTTTAGACAAAACAGATAGGCTCTCCATCTTTTTGTGCGGTTGCTTTGAAAGGGGATTCGTACAGGAACAGTGTATTTATTCATGTTGTATGGATGGAGAGAAATAGAGAGAAGAGAGGGCCATGGGACAGCTTACAGGGTGGAATAATTGGATGCACCTGCTTTTTTCAGTCTAGTTATGCAGTTGCTCTCATGTCATTGTTTTTCATCATCTTGGTTGGGCCTTAATTAAAGCAGCTGAGGTGATATTTCTCTTGGCTTGGTCCGGCAACCTTACACAAGGCACTTTATGAAAATGATTAATTGACTTTCTTCTGCTCCATTCTGACTCTGGACATGCTTGTGTCACCATCACATGAGAGAACCCTCCCTAACATCATGGCCATCCCTACGTGTTTGTTCCACCCAGATGGCTCTCTGGGCCAGTCTGCCATGTGTGCCACTTTGTGTATTGCTTACTATACATATGAGACACATTCTTTTTGACTTGTCTAAATCTTTGACTCTGTAGTATCATGAGAGAGGGTATTTGTTTCTTTTTGATATAAATGAAGTTTATACCCCTAAACTTATCTTGCTGAATATTAATTGTTTATTTTGATTTAACCGAAGACAAAAGGAGGTGCTTCGTAGAGTGTTAATGCTCATGTACATTCGCTGTATTTATATGGGTGTGCACTTCTGTGTGAGAGAAAGAGGCAGGGGAGTGTCCTGCTGCTCCAGTCCACGTTCCAGTTACTGGGTGCAGACTACACGGCTCCTCCACAGGCTTGGCCCCGGGCCACCTGGCAGCCAAAGAAAGGTGCCCTTTCTGGCCCTGCTCAAACTGAATTGCGACCATAGGCCTTGCAACCTGGAAACTCCGCTTCTCATTTATCAACACAGAAATTACATCAGATAGTCCCTGTCACACTGCCGGCCCTTTGAACAGCTGCATTATGAAGCTGAAAAACCATTAGCTCGTCAGATAGCCGTATAAAGCTGCAGAGAAAATAGCACAGACATGAGATGGCGAAGGAATGTATGCAGTGCATGCCTCAGCACTGCAAGCACAGAGTGAAATGTGGTTCTTAAATATTATGTCAGAAAGAAAACAGTATTTTCCCTCTTCCCAAGCCTTTGAAGAGATCTTGTATAAACAAATAAATAATGTGAAGAATTTGCTTTTCAGTGTAGCCAACTGCAAGAATGTTGAGCTTGTTTTGATACTAGATGGCATTTCATTAATATCTGCCTTAATTCATGTCAAGCACTTTGATATTTTACCTTAATGACTAGAAACCACCTTTTTTTCCCATGACTAACCTATTCCAAATAGGAATGTACTTCCTTATTCCCCTTTTGGAATTGGGTTTGACTTTATTTTGTCATAAACACTACATACATGGCATAGAATACCCATAATATTCCAGGATACCGATCTGTCTTGAGTCATATATATGTACAGGAAAATGCTAAATGGAAAAATAGCATACAGTAAACACAATCAAGCTGTTGCAGCAAGTTTAAATGTGATACAGGATAATGTATTTCCTGGACAGAGTTCATGATAACAGAGGCCGTTGTGCATCCTGCTCAGTATGATACACCACTGACTTAAATGATAACCTGTTATCCATCCAGGTTTTCCATGCCACATACTACAGTTTAAATATATTTTAAAACTGCTGATTTCAAATCATGATACTGTTCAGGGACTAAGCGGTTGAAAATGAATGAATGAAAATCATTGTACTTGCTTTCAATAGCAAAATACTGTATACATTGAAATATCTGGATTCAGAACAGCCTTGTTTCTTTATATATATATGTGTGTGTGTGTGTGTGTGTGTGTGTAGAGAGAGAGGTTTTTCAGGTAGATAAATACAAAAGTATATGTAAAAGGTACTGCAATGAGGGTTGCCATTCTGTTATACAGTCATGGGTTAAGTGTTCTTCAGAGTGATGGCACAAAGACAACTTGAAAGCCTGTTGATTGATTTCCATAACATAGTCCTGTCATTTTCAGTCTTTATTTGATGTTCATTTTGAGTTTTATCAAAAACTGCTTTATAAATAAGCCATGCCTCTGTGCTGCTTTGCCAAATCAAGATAATAATGAATATCACATGGCATCATTAAAGAAGTTCTTGAATCAGAATAGTGTGGAGGGTTCCTGGTTGACCAGCATGTAGTCATGTTAATAGCTGCTCATACTGTCCCGACATCTATATACTGTACTGTTCATAGGGGTTTCACTACACTCAGAGTAGAGTCATTGTTTTAATGAGACTGACCTTAAAATACAGTTGTTGTTCTTGCCTCTTAGGCTCAATGTCCAGACCAGACAAGTGTTCCAGACACCCAGAAACCCACAGACTCATCCAGTTGCCCTCCATCCAGCTTTCATGTTTGGTCTAATCCCAGCCATAGCCAAAACCATATCCAGACCTGTGTTCGTCCTGTTCTTGCCCCAAAGCCACCCCACGGTGCTCGAGAGGGTTTGATCAGGAAAACGGCAACAAAGCGCCTCATCAAGTAAGTCCAGCCTTACATCTGATTCAGTATATTTAATTTTGATCCATGTTACTTAAATCCCATAAGATGAAAGTTTAATAGATTTATAGCACATTAAGTGATTGCAGAGGGGCGGCAGAGCTTGACCCCTGCTTGTGAAGTGAGACAGGGTTTCATGGGCTTGCTGAGTGCAACAGGACATGGCTAATGCTAATGAGAGCTAGAATATGTGTGTAGTGGAGTGCTCCCAGTCCTATGACTGAAGGATGGATCTGCTTGTTCAGTAAACAACCTCATCACATCATCCTGATTTCTGCTTGAACCGTAAACACAACATGGTTCAGTGGAAGGGCCTGGACTCTGAGCGTCGTTTAAATCCTGTTTGGTTTGGAGATAAGCTGAAGAGCACAAAAGGGAAAATAAAAGGGAAGAAGTGAAACTGGGCTGAACTGCCAGCTATTTCCCTCACTTATTTTATCACTTTATTACTGCAGCATCTGGCCAAATTACACAAGAGCGAACCTTTAAGATCAGGGCTTTTTATTTGTTTAAAGTACACTGTTGCAGTGGTGAAGGATCCTTCACACTTGCTTAATGTGTAAGAGGAAAGGACTCAGCTGGACTGGAACAGACACTGGAAGACATCTTTTTTTTCTGTCATAATGTTCTTATTTTAAACCCATGTGTGAGTTGTCCACTATCTGACTCTTCATTTCTCTGTATGACTTAATTCATTGTTAGCAGTTTTACAGGCCTTCTGACATGAAGCGGCCGAGGTGTAATGTGGTTGAGAATAGCAGGTAGAACTGAGCAAAATCCTCACTCTGCTGACATGTTACTTTTAACCATCTTACTTGACTGGACAAACTGTGCCTGACAAATGAAAAGTCAAGAGGGCAAGGGTGCAGTGTAGGTGCAGTAGAATAGGTTAGGACAGCCGGGTAGGTGCTGTGTTTATTCGTGTGTGTGTGTGTGTGTGTCTCTTCCTGGCAGTTGCTGTGTTTACTCTCTGCATGCAGAATTCCAGAGCCCCCTCACACTCTTCTCTGTCCTGCATTTTTGTGGTCGAGCAGTGTGACAGGGGAGAGTGTGGGAAAAACGGAAGCTCCAGGACCAAAAATGCACTGAAGGAAACAATGAAAAGAAAGAATAAAGTGAGTGGATAAGAAAGAATGACAGAGAAAAAAGGTAAACTCTGCCCAGGAGAAAGGAGATGATTATTGGCAGAAATTGGTGGAATAAGTTGCTTCCCTTTTTTATCACCACTTATTTTAGGGGCAACTCAATACCTCTGTTATTGAGGCACATCTGAAATACATCCCAGAGTGGGCTTAAGCTCTTCAGGCTTATAATAGAATCACTGTGCCGGGTGCAGTCGAACAGTTGAAGGCTATCCTGCCCTCCAAACACCTTCCTCTAGCTGAACTTTCAGACTGTTGTTTGATAGAAGTGTACTGATCTCACCTGTTTCTCTACTGATGATCATTGACAGTTGTTAGTTGAATGTATTTATCAGAATGATACTTGGTTTAGGGGTGGCTTTGTGGCACAGTGGTTGGCGCTGTTGCCTCACAGCAAGAAGGTTCTGGGTTTGAGCCCTGTTCTCCCTGTGCCGGCGTAGGTTCTCTCCAGTTGCTCCGGCTTCCTTCCACAGTACGAAAGCATGCATCTTAGGTTGATTGGAGATTGTAAATTGCCCGTAGTCTTTACTGTGGGTGTGTGTGGTTGTCTGTCTTAGTGTCAGCCCTGTGATAGACTGGTGACCTGTCCAGGGTGTACCCCGCCTCTCACTCGATGTCAGCCTAGATTGGCTCCAGCACCCTCACGACCCTCTTCAGGATAAGCAGTATAGATAATGGATGGACATTTGGTTTAGGAGTGACGATTTCTGTTGCTGTTCTGTTTGAAGGCCTTCAAGACAAAATCCTGCGAGTGTGCCATAAAGTCAGCATAGTCTGAATCTGCTGACTCGTGCCCAGTGATTGGGCTGAGTGAGTAGTCAGCATTCTGTTCTAATTGAAAATGAATGGAATGAGCATAAACCTTGGCATAGTTTCTGAGTGTCTTTTACTTTTAAGCTCAACTAACACACAGTACAGTACAGTACGTGAAGCAAATATACTTCATGTTGGTATCACCCTCAGCAGGGCAGGGCTCTCTGGTCTATCAGCATACCACAGCTGCCAACTTCAGGGGCTGCAAGGACTCAAAGTGGTATGACTTCAGTGAAGGCTTTGAAAGGAGCAATTTGTAACACAAATAAATGAGCCTGTTTGGTATTTTGTTTGCAAGGTTTGGCTAGTTGCAGCTGTAACTACGGAAACCCAGGCTGTCGTGTGGCATTACTAATAGGGTGACAGTTACGGCAGCACCATTAGTGTCAGCCTCACTGCTGCTTTCACTACCTATTAATCAGCCACAACAGTAGTTATTTCTACTGGGTATTTTATACATACAGAAGCTGCCAAAAGTGTGTTTATGGTTAAACTCTATCCCTTTTACTCCATCTGAGTAACATTAAGATATACTAGCTACCTGAAGGCATAAAAACGAAAGCTGCAAACCAGCAATTTATTTACGTAAGAACCTCGGCTCTCTGTGAGGAGTGTGAATTATAAAGTACATCACCTGCACATGCTGAAAGTTCAGACACTTCTCACCTACAGTGTTTCTTTCTACTGCAGAAGAACCTGGAGGTCAGGTTGTTTTATTTATATATTTTTTTCTCCTGCTGCCACCTCACGAGGTATTGCACGCTTCAAGTGGACCTGGTCTATTTGTGGTTGTGTAATGGAATGAATGAACAACTGTGCAGCCCCTTACAAGGAGGCAGTGTGTACCCTCATTACCTCAGTAATGCTTCTTTGACAAGCTGCTGTTATGAGGCTAGAGGTTAATACCAGCTAAGCTTTATTTATTGTTCCTCCCTAAAAAATGCTTAACAGATATTATGTATAAGGTTACAGACGTGTTGGTTCCTGCTCTATGCTTCAACAGTTCTTATAATGGTTTCTCTATAAGGACACTGCATTTTCTGTGTGGATATGTGAGAAGGGTTATGTTACATGTTGTTGTTGGTCTTCAGACTTCTGTGAAACCATGTGAGATAAATATACGAAGTATCTATTACTATATTCACTACACATCCTATAAGAAAGCCTGTGTATGTCCCTTTCCGACAGTGGTGCGGTGGGTAGAGCAGTCGTCTCCCAACCGGAAGGTTGAAGGTTTGAATCTCAGTGCCTGCACTCCACATGTCAAAGTGCCCTTGGGCAAGACACTGAACTCCCAAGTTGCCTGTGATAGCGGCATATATGCACGCAGCAGCCCAGGGCCCTCAGCTCCAACAAAATTTTGTTGTACGTGTTAGAATAAAATAAAGCTTCTTCTTCTTCTTCTTCTTTCCTGTCTGTAGCCATTGTCTGCAGTCCTACATAGTCAGTAATCACCACAATAATCTTGCCAATGTGAAAATTACATCACCCGGGACAAGGAGCAGGAATTTGCCCCATTCTTGTCACAATAGCTCGTGAGAGGCACTCAGTAAATACTTAAACCCCCTAGTATCCTCTGACTGCACACACACATACACAGCAGCTATTTGAAACTGACTAAATGACTCATCAGGCATCATGCACACATGAGCACAAACAATCACACGTTGTTAAAATCACTTTTCTCTCTATCTCTCTTTCTCTCTATATATTTTTTTTTTGGGGGGGGAGTGTTTGGCTCTAAATGGAACACTGGAATAAATCTAGTGAGCTGTCTCCTGACTGCTTGGTCCAGGACTATGGTCTTTCAAATACTGTTTGTCAATGTATAACCCCACAGGGAAAGCTCCTTTTGGGTTTTTGTTGACACTTATCTTGTGTGTGATTAATAGACAGACATCCTCAGAGGGTTCAGCCAGTGGATCTGTGTCCAGCAGCAAGCATATGATCTACAAAGCCATCTGTGGTAAAACAGGTGGGTCTGATGCTGCAGTTCCACACATGCTTACTACATTATCATACTGTAACCTGGCCTGTTGGTGCTATAGTTCCTAGGCAGGGTTATGCCCTTTTTATAATGGTGATTACAGCCAGGCATAGTGGACATTCCCCATGGAGGACTGATAAAGACCAGTGGATATTTTTACCCAGCTCCTGCTTGCTTAGCCGTATCCAGGATGTGTAAATGTATATTGCTCACTGTATCCTACAGGATAATATCAGGGTGGCTGTTCACCAGCTGATGCTCATGATACAGCAGGACAATGGCCCTAAACCTTTAAGTAAATCTACTACAGAATGGCTTCAGTCAAAGAAGATCTGCCTCCCCAAGTGGCCTAGTTTGAGGCCAGGCTTTAATCTCGTAGAAATGCTGTGAAATAACCATATGGGCTATTCCCACCAGACATTTGAAGAATATACGTATATAGTGGAATAGTTTACCTATTAATATTAGCTCTGCAACGGATCTACCAGTCTTTAGGTCACTGCTTAAAATTCATTTATTTTTCATGGCCTTCAGATCATAGTGGAGTTGACTTCTCATCATTGAATGTTTTATTGTCTGTCTTTTGCTTTTTTACTTTATTTTATTGTGGCTTAGATAAAGCACTTTGCTCAACAAGTAATTTTTAAAGTGCTATATAAATGATTTAATTTGATTTTATAGCCAAACTGCAGCTGACCTACAAGGAGGAGTGGCTCAAAATGTGTCCTGAACAGTGGGCAGGTCTGATCCACAGCTACTGGAAGTGCTGGTCTAAGTTTATTTCTGCCAAAGGAGGTTCAACCAGATATTAAATCAAAGGGTTCACATAGTTTTTCTATCAACACTGTGAATAATTAATGGGTGGAGCCAATTCCAGCTGCTATTGGGTGAGAGGCAGGGTACACCCTGGACAGGTTGTCTAACACAGGGCTGACACTCAGAGATGGACAACCACACACACACTAACTCCTAGGGGCTGCATGTCTTTGGACATGAGTACCCATGCAGGCACAGGGAGAACATACAAACTCTGCACAGAAAGGCAACGGGTTGGCCAGCGCTTGAACCCAGAACCTTCTTGCTGTGAGGCGACAGCACTAACCACTGTGCCACCACGCTGCCCTATATTGTGTTTGTCTACTAGCGCGTGACATTTGAGCACTCCAAACGTCTGGCCTAAAGTTTGATGTGTGTGTCCAAACCCGACCCCAGACATAATTTTCAAATTTCTTTCCGAACCCTTGGGCACTGACAGCTCCCAGCGGGCTTACTTTGGGTATCCACACTCTAGTTCACAACCTTTTTTATTTGCCACTGTAACCTCCATGACATAATTTCAAACTTTAACTACTCCTTTCTTTTAGGAGTGCAAATGAGGTTTTATGGGTTATGTTACAATGACTTGTACAAGCATTTTAGCATTTGTAGTACAGTAAAATTCTGTGTGATCATATACACTAGTCTGCTTGCATCCAACACTAGAGGTCAGATTACTGCTGAGGAATAAAGAGGCATAACAGTAATGACTTCTCTCTTATGTAATGAGATCCAGTGATGGGAAGAGTTTGGGCATTCCCATCTGTTGGCCATTCTGTCCAGTTGTATCTCAGACCAAGAGAATAAAAATGTAACTCAGTGTTTCTTTGAGGCTTTGTGCACTCCCTCACATGTGCCCTGTCACCCTGCCCTCTTTCCACAGCTATTTCTATCCTGAGCAAAGTGTTGAGCTTATTGCAGTAACAGCGATATTAAGCAGGTTTTATGCTTATGCACACATCTGTTTGTTTGATCAAGAGCTTTTCCCCCCATAGACCTACTCTAGATTAGCATTAGCAAATCATACCATTCTTCACATCATGTGTGTCACAGCTGAGTCAACCCAGAGATCAGTTTGTCAAAAAATACAGTAGCTTTGGACCAAACTGCCCTACCCCAAAACGTGTGTATATGTCCGTGACCCCTATGAAGACTGGCTTACCTTAAAAACATCTTATAAACTCATCAATTACTGTAACTGGATCCGTTGGGAGCTCCTTCTGAATTTCATGAATGCATTTTTCCATAGTTTTTTTTTCCTGCACAGAGGATGGGGTGGGGGAGATTCCTCATTCCTGACTTTAAAAGAAATATGTGAACCTTAATAAAAAACTAACCATAACCAAAGCAGGGCAGGTTTAACCAGCCACTGTGCATGTACAGTTAAGTGGGATTTGAACAGAGATACCTAGTGTGGTGTTTTCAGAAGGGGGATGGTGTTATTACAGGGGGCACCGCTTTTGTGGAGTGCGTCAGGTCTTTCTGGCTGCTCAGTGTACCTTTGTAGCAAGATGACTGAACTCCTCTGATCAACTCTGACAGGGAGTTAGAGCGAGTCCAAATGGGGAACATTCCCTATGATCAGCCGTCAACCATCATTAATCACACTCTCCCTTTATCTCTCTGGTTGTATATTCTTAATCTTTTCCTCTTCTTGCTCATACAACTTTTCCTACTCACTCATGCTACCCCCACCCTTTCCCCACTTCTTCCAAGTTAATTTTTGACATGAAATGAGTGGAAGATTATGTTGAGGAGCCATGAATGCTTACAGAACCTAGATTATATCAGCCACATGTGTTACAATCCTTTCCTTGATGTTCTTAGGGCTTCATCATTCTGAAGAGATGTATTGTTTTTGATTTGAGAAGGAAATGAATGCTGCTCTTGTGCGATTTTAATGGGAGTCTGATTATGTCAGGATGGATAGATTAGAGCTCTCTCTATCAAAATAAGACTATACAGTGCCTTGTTGGGAAAAGGAAGGCTGCCATCCCCTTTTCAGATGTATTATGTAAGATATTACTGAAGATGGTTAGATTTGAACCAGTTGCTGATAAACCTGTTTTCTTTGTGAATTACCTCCTTTAAACAATGTATTTTATTAGGTGTCATAGTAGCAGATGGTAACTACAGCACATGACTCAATTTATTTGGATATGAATGTAAGTTGCAAGCACAGAAAGACACAAACTGTTAAAAAGTGAGTTATTCTGTTATATTTGAGACCTTTGGGGTTAATTTCCCATTGTGCAAACTGCTGACATCATTACTGTTTTTAGTTTTAGTGTCATTTGGAGCGGGTTATGTTAGAGTCCCTTTATCTTCTGGGCGATGTTTTCGTTTTCCAGCTCAGTCAGGCCCCATGATGTAAAAGAGCACCAAAATAAACAGTGTGTGCAGAGAGGGAGTGAAAGGGAATACTGTTTGGGAGCACAAACACAGCAGCTCTAACTGTCCTTGGAACGCCTTTTCTACTGGATACCTGGCTGTGTGCCAGCTGATACAATGAGGGTCTGAGAGGCTGAGAGTGCGGGGCCAGCCAAACAAAAGCCTAAGCACTGAGCTGAATGAGCACATCTGCTGGTAACCTCTTCAACCATGAATAATTAAAAAGATCAACAAAATCTTCACCACAAAGGTTTTAGAGGACTCATCTGAAGAAAAAACTCTTTCAGGTTTGACAGAAACATTTCTCTGTGCACATAAGAGCTTTGACCGCCTTTGCACCTCTTACACTAATTTTTCTTTCATCGGTTGCTCTCCAGGTCTTTCTGTGTACCGCAAGCTGTTCCAGGGCCAGGAGCCCAGCCACAGATGACATGAAGGCAGCCAGAGGCACGTCCTGCCGCTCTGCTGGCCTGACAGGTGTCTCTGCATGTAACTACATCCTCACATAGGTGTGTTCTGGGAAAGAACAACAGCAACAGATTAAAGCATGCCAGACATCGAACAGGGCCCC